AAAAGAAATGAATGAAAGACATGATGAAATTAGGAAGGATGTATCGGCACGTTAGGAATTAAAGGAATCATTCAGGAATGTGAAGATGCAGTAGAAAGTTTTAATAACAGATTAAACCATAAGGAAGAAAGAATCTCAGAGCTTGAAGACAAGGCTCTGGAGTTAGCTTTGTCATTCAAAAAGGCAGAAAAGAATAGAGTAAAACCACAGCAATCTCCTAGAGAATTATAGGACTTCATGAAGCGTATAAACATATGAGTTATGGGAATCCATGAAGAAGAAGACTGATCCAAAGGTATGGAAGGAAGCCCTGCTAGAGGATATCATAACTGAAAATTTCCCAAGTATCACCAAAGATTCTGAGCACTCTTTTTAGATGGTTACTGAACCACATTGTCTCAATACAAACAGAGCATCTCCTAGACACATTGTAATGAACATGTCGAAATTCAAAATGGAAGAGTAAATTTTCCAAGCAGCCAGAAGTAAGGACTAACTGACCTATAGGAGCCAATCAATCAGGTGACAGAGGACTTCTCGGCTGAAACTAGACAAGCCAGAAGATACTGGGATGTGCCTTTCAACTTACTCAAACAAAACAATTTCCAACTTAGGATTTTGTATCTTGCCAAAATAATTTTCATATTCAAGGGAGAAATCCAATCTTTTACTGACAAGCAAACAGTGAGGAAATCTGCCACTAGAAGACCAGCTTTCCAGAAAGAACTCAGACCCATACTACACAAACCACCAAAATGAACCATGAGCAAAGTAAAGACACCTGGAAACAAAAGTTCAAAGCTTAGCTTCCACAGTGCTGCAAGAGATAAAAGTAAGCAAGGGATCTCACAAAGTAAGATGAACCGAACTCCACCATTTTTTATCAACAAATATGAATGTCTTGAATTCCCCACTGAAGAGGTACAGGCTGACTCACTGGATTAAAAAAAAGCACAAGCCAATTATACACTGTCTTCAGGAAACACATCTGACCACAAAGGACAAAACAAGTGTTAGTGTGAAGAGGTGGAAAATAATATTTCAGGAAAACAGAAATCAGAAGACATCAGAGGTTGTAATTTTTATATGCAGATACAACTACATTTAAAGCAACAAAAGAAAGACAAACATGGATACTATGCACTGGTCAAAAGAACAAAAAGACACCTCAATTCTAAATAACTAGCACCCACCTTAAATATTCCCAAATTTATAAAACAAACCTTACTGGTCTGAACAATATGATATCCTACAACATTAATAGCTGGGGACTTCAACACCCCACTGACAGAACTGGACAGATCCTCTAAACAGAAAAAAACAGAAACAAGGGACTGAGACATGAATAACTGTGTTTAATAGACATATACAGAACATACCATCCCCAAACTATTGAGGATAACATTCTTCCCATCAACTTATTGGGATCATACTCCAAAACTGATGATATCCTAAGATACAAATCAAATCTGAACAAATTCAAAAGAACAGAAATTATACCACATATCTTTTCAGATCCCAAGAGAATAAAAGTGGAACTCAACTCCCACAAAAACTTTCACCCCCACACAAAGTTGGGGAAGGTAAACAGCTTTATGCTGAACCACACGCAGATCAAGGAGGAGGTAATGAAATAAATAATTACATTCGTTGAGCGTAACAATGAAGCCACAAGCTATCAAAATCCATGCAATACTGCAAAAGCAGTCCTAAGAGGGAAATTTACCACATTAGATGCCCATGTATAAAAAACAGGAAGAGCACATATAGACAACCTAATGAAATTATTTCAAGGAACTAGAAAAGAGCAATCCAATCCTAAATTTAGCAAAATTAGCTAAGAAAAAAAAAAAAAAAACTGGAAACAAAAAAATCATTCAGAAAGTAAAACAAAAAGTTGGTTCTTGAACAAAATTAATAAATCTTTGGCCAGATTAACTAGAAACAAGAAAGATGTTTAATAAGCTTGCTCAGAAACAAAAAAGGGGAAATAACAGAAATTACAGAAATACAAAAGATTACCTATCATTACTATTACAAAAATCTATACCCAGAAATTTGGCAATGTAGAGGAAATGGACCAATACCTGGAATCACACAACCTCACTAGCCATGAAAAGGAAGAAATAGATCTTTTGAACAGACCAATATCAAACATCAAAATTGCAAAAACAGCTCCCAACAAAAAATGTCCTGAAGCAAATGTTTTACACCAGAATTCCAAAGTGCCACAGAGATTTTACCTATCTTACAGAACCCACTTTATAATACTGAAACCAAAGGAAGAGCCCCCCAAACCTTTTATAAAACAAACATCACCCTCATACCAAAACCAGGAAAAGACCCAACAAAAAAGGAAAACTGAATATTGATTCAAAAATACAGAAGGAGGGAGGGGTGGGAAAAGGAAGAGCAGAGAGAGGGAAGGATCGAGGGGGTGGGGTCTTGGTGTGTGCCATACCTTTAGGAGGCAAGACACAATTGTAAGAGGGTCTTTACCTAACAAATGCAATTAGTGTAACCTGGTTTCTTGTACCCTCAATGAATCTCCAACAATAAAATATATATATATATACTCAATAAACTCCCAGCAAATAGAAAACAGCTACACATTAAAAAAATTACACATCATGGGTGGTGCCTGTGGCTCAGTAAGTAGGGCACCAGCCCCATATAGCGAGAGTGGCGGGTTCAAGCCTAGCCCCGGCCAAACTGCAACAAAAAGGTAGCTGGGCATTGTGGTGGGTGCCTATAGTCCCAGCTACTCGGGAGGCTGAGGCAAGAGAATCGCCTAAGCCCAGGAACTGAAGCGTTGCTGTGAGCTGTGACACTACTGCACTCTACCAAGGGCGATAAAGTGAGACTTTGTCTCTCAAAAAAAAAAAAAAAAAATTACACATCACAATCAAGGAGGCTTTATCCCAAGGACACAAGGTTGGTTTAAAATAAGCAAATCCATAAATGTAATTCATCACATTAATAGAAGCAAAAACAAAGACCAGATGATCCTCTCAATAGATGCAGAAAAAGCATTCAAAAAATTATTTTCTGGTAAGAACATTTAAGAAAATAAGCATAGATGGCACATTTCTTAAACTGATAGAAGTCATCTACAACAAACCCTCAGCCAGTATCATAATGAATGGAGTAAAAGTGAAAATATTTCCACTGAGAACTAGAACCACAGAAGGATGTCCACTAACAGCACTAGTACTAGAAGTCCTAGACAATGCAATCAGGCCAGAGAAGGCTATCAATGGTATTCAAATGGAGAAAGAAAAGTTAAACTCTCCCTCTTTGCTGCTATTATCTTATACTTAGAAAATCCCACAGATTCAACCACAAGAATTCTAGAAGTGATTAAGAAATACAGTAACATCTTGGGATACAAAATAAATGTCCACAAATAAACAGACTTTGTATACACCAATAACAATCATGTCAAGAAGCAAATCAAGGACATGTACCTTTACAGTAGCTTCAAATAAAATGAGATGCCTGGGAATATATCTAACAAAGGAGGTGAAAGATCTCTACCCAGAGAATTATGAAACCCTGAGAAAAGAAACAGCAGAAGACATTAACAAATGGAAGAATCGGCTGGGTGCCTGTGGCTCAAGTGGCTAAGGCGCCAGCCACATACACCTAAGGTGGCAGGTTCGAATCCAGCCTGGGCCCACCAAACAACAATGA